TGTTGGAAAGTCAGATATACAGAGAGGCGGACAGAGAGAGAGGAAGATCTTTCATCTGTTGATTTACTCCCCAACGGCAGCAACAGCTGGAACTGCACAGATCCGCAGCAATGATCCCGGAGCCTCCTCCAAGTCTCCCACATGGGTGCTGGGGGCTAAGGCTTTGGGCCATCCTCAACTACTTTCCCAGGCCATAAGCAGGGAGCTGGATGGGAAGCAGGGCTTCCAGGATATGAACCAGTGCCCATATGGGATAATGGCACATGCAAGGTGAGGACATTAGCCACTAAGCTACTGTGCTAATTTAGAATTTTTAAGAAAAAACACTTGGCTATTTTTTTTCCTAAAATGGCAAGACACTGACTCGTGACCCTTCATTAATACTAAAGGCTACCACACTAAAAAGCAGTCAGCCTACTTGTTGTCTATGTGCCACACTGGAGCGCCTTGATTCAATTCCCAGCTCCAACTCCTAAATCTAGCTTCTTCCCAATATGGAGCAGTGATGGCTCACGGGAAACCAAGATTAATTTTCCCAGTCTCAGCTTCAGCCGTGGCCCACACCCAATGCTTAAGGGGGACTTAACCAGCAAATAAAAACTCTGAGTGTGAGCTCACATGTATATGTTTGATTCACAAATTTGTCAGATAAAATATTTTTAAATGGTTACCAAATTGGAGTCATGTTAACAGAATGATCCCAGAGAAGATACATTCGAGTGAATTTAGGCAGTTTCTACACTTCCATGTAAGATTTAGCATAAGATGTAGTACAGAAACACATAACTAACAGGTTAATACCTTAAAAGCAAAAGAAAACCAAACACAGAAAGGGAAGACAGAAATTTAATCATGTAAATTATCATTTTCAATGCATTTTGTAAAAAGATTTATTTTGATATGAAAGGCAGATTTTATGAAGAGAGAAAAAGAGGTAAAGAGAAGGTCTTCCATTTGAAGTTCACTTCCCAAATGGCCATAACGGCCACAGCTGAGCTGATACAAAGCTAGGGGACAAGATCACTCAGGCCCTCCTCGTGGATGCATCTTCAGCTGCTTTCCTCGGCCAGGACCAGAGAGCTGGGTTGGAAGTGGTGAAATTGGGACCTGAATTAGTCCCCACATGGGATGCTGGAGCTACAGCACATGGGATGAACCTGCCAAGCATTCTTACAACTTAAAGTTGTGAGATCAACCAAAGTATAGGAAGTTCCTTTTGTAACATAATCACACATATTTTCATGTCATTGAACTCTACTATAATAGCAAGAAAATACTACTTCTAAATGTAAAACAAATCACACTGCTATACAAATTTGTGTGTGTATCTTCGATTTAAAATTAAGATTTTCTGGACTCATTTCCACATGATTTTATTTTTTTTTAAATCTAACTGTAGATTTCTCTATATAAATGTCACAGAGTCAGGGAATTCTATACAGCAGTTATTACTTTGCTCCCCTCTAGTACATGTAAATGTGTTATTTTCATGGACAGACAGTAGGAATGACTTGGGTGAACATCATTCTCAGGGTGGTCACAGTGGCATAGCAAGCTGCTCCTCCACCTGCAGAGCTGACATCTCATAAGGGTGGCAGTTCATGTTCCAGCTGCTGCAGCCCTGGTCCACCTCGCGGTTAATGGCATGGGAAAGCAGTGGAGTATGGCCCAAATGTCAGAGACCAGGAAGAAGAGCCGGAGTGCCAGCTTTGGACCAGCCCAGCCCAGTTGAGGTATTTTCCATGGAAGATCTCTCTCCTCTCCCTCTCTCTCAGTAATTCTTTCAAGCAAAAATAAATAAGCCTTTTCTAAAAAGTAAAATAAAGAGTTTCTCTTCAATTAAGTAAAACAAACAAAACAGGCTTGCAAGGGAAGAATTACAAAACTTTGTCTCCTTCATACTTACTAATCTTTAATAAAAAAAAATCAGTGTTTGTAAATGTGCAAAGATTTTCATAAACACCAAAAAATACTAAATATGCACCAAGCATGATGCAATTGTGTGGGCAAGGAGACTGTTTAGAAAATAAGTACACACAGCTGATCCTGTCCTTAGGAAGCATAGTTCCCATCACCACAAACACAGGCATGTAATAATGCTCCTAGAACCTTCTTGAGGGTACACACATCCCTTAAGATAATAGTACTTACTGAGAAAACTACACCATGAATTCAGCATTTGTAAAAACAAAAGAATCAAAAAACATAATGAGGGGCAAAAAGAAGGAAAATAGCTCATTAAAAAACCCAAAGACGGGCCCGGCAGCATGGCCTAGCAGCTAAAGTCCTCGCCCTGAATGCGCCAGGATCCCATATGGGCACCGGTTCTAATCCCGGCAGCTCCACTTCCCCTCCAGCTCCCCTGCCTGTGGCCTGGGAAAGCAGTCAAGGACGGCCCAAAGCTTTGGGACCCTGCACCCGTGTGGGATACCCAGAAGAAGTTCCTGGCTCCTGGCTTCAGATCGGCATAGCATCGGCCGTTGCACTCACTTAGGGAGTGAATCATTGGATGGAAGATCTTTATTTCTATCTCTCCTCCTCTATGTATATCTGACTTTCCAATAAAAATAAATAATTACCAAAAAAAAACCCACAGAGATACACAAAACAAAATACATAACATTACATATATATCATATGCTCATGCACATGTATATAAAATATGCACAGGTCTATCTCGCACCTCTACATTCTTCAGTCCTCAGAAAAACAAAGTGTATGGCCAATCTAAAATTTAATAGTAAATAGAGAAGAGAATGAATGATAGATTCCCGGCTGCTTGTCCACTTTGTCCTATGATGAGAATATATTTAGTAACAAGAAGAAATTCTGATCCAGGACCTAATACACAATTTAAAAACAAAATGGTCCCAAGTGACACCTTACAAAGGATTAAATTTATCATAAGAATAAATTTATATAGAAAGAGCTTCAATTACTAAAAGAGTTAATGCAAGTCCTCTACTATCTAATATCAATATGTTACAAGGCGTGTCACCCACAGGTCTACAGTTCGATTTTACTTATTGCAGTTGGTACATGGCTCTTTGTTTGCAGTCACTTGCGCCACACCTTCCAGGTTTCAGGTCTGAGCTCTGAGTTAAGCTTCCACCACAGTCTCAATGGCTCCAGCTCCTGGTTCAGCACTCTCCACCTCCTGTGAGATCAGGTTGTGGCTACACCATTGTCTGTACAACTTTTCTCCCTGTTGGAGCAGGTCCCAGAATTAGGGAGACACCAGGTGTCCCAAATAACCAGATTGCTGGTGGTGCTGATCTTGCCAGAACCTGCTGGCCGTTTGATCTGAGGGCCAACCAGACCTATTTTGACCTGTACAATGCCAAAGTAGGTATTATTTTCCCTGTTGGACCAGTGTAATGCACTGAGCCGGAAGTGAATTGCTCCTGAATCATGCACAGCTTACTGTTGTCTCTCCAGTCTCAAACTTTAGCCACACTGTTCAAATTGGTGCCTGATGTGCCACTCGTGGAGTTCTGGATCTGCTGACCATTAGACCTGAGGGCTGTCCAGATATATTTTGGGTGGAGCCCGTAGGATGCCACATTGCTGCAACACACTGAGCCAAAAATGAGTTTCACCCCAGCTTAGTGCATGCGTAGTCCCATTCCACAGCCTTTGCCTCTCTACACAAAATGGTACCCGATGTGGCTCTGGTGGGGGTCTGGGCTGTGAAATTCACCCCGTTCCTAACACCAGCTGCTTGGTCTGTGCTCCTGGTCAAATCAAACAAATCAGCAGGACGGTCAGTTCTTTGCCTGGGTTCACCTGTTGAGCTCCCAGTGTACTCTCCTCTCCTTCCCACCTGGCTGCTGCTGAAGCTTCAGCCGGTGATGGAGCTCAGATCACTGCTCGCTGACTGCAACTGGGGTAACTGGCAACACCACACCATTGTCTCTGCTGCTTTCCTACGTCCATCAATCTCCAGGTCCCACTTTGCCATCTGCTTGTCCTCTCATATGTCCTTGAATATGCCCTCTCTGCTTCACCCTGGCTAATGAGTCTGTTTAAATGTGGACCTGCCCGATTCTGCTATCTTGTCCCTCTCAAGTAAATAAATCTTTTAAAAAATTTTAAAAGGAAAAAAAAAATTGAATGATTGGATACACTGAAAGGTGAAATTATACAATGAATCATCTGGACAAGCCATAATTTGATATTACTAATTTCTTATTATTTTTCTGCATAATTTGTCTTGACCTGTAAATAGGATTTATCCATTATATAAAACTGTAAATGTGTAGAATGTAAAGATGTACAAGACTATAAACTACTGACAGGAGGACTATCTATTTCCTAGTACTCTCAGTACAGTCCAAAGATAATTTTGGTTATTAGCACATAATGTAATTATACAGTATGCCTACTCTTTAATGGAGTTTTCATTATACAAACCACATCAAGAATAAAAGCTATTTTTAAAAAAGCCCCATTGTGGCACATTTCCAAATGTGTCAGCATGTGTGCCTGAGTGTGGTTTAAGCATTATTATCTGTGAAATAAATGTGTCTCAACATTGGAATATAAATTCTTTACAATTTTCCCATTAAGAACAAGAATATGGCATTTGTCTTTAGAAAACATAAGGAGCCCTATTGAGGTCTACAAATAAAAATAGCACAATAGGATGTTTCTTTGTGCTGTTAAAAGGATGGCTTACAAAAAGACATGAGGACGCTGAGGGTATCTGCCAGTACTGTTCCCTTCCATTGTTCCTGAAATTGTCTGAAAGTTACACATCTTCTATTTCAGATCATTTGAAATAATAAAGGATTAAAGCTTTACTACAAGTTCTATACAATACACATTTTTAAAAATGAAGGGAAAAATATTAAACACTTTTGAAAGCTAAAATATTTTCTGGTTATATGAATCCAGGAATAATTCATCTTTATGAAACAAAAAATATATTATTAAAAGTAAAAAAAACACGCTATCACCAGAGACAAAAATGAATTATAGAGAATTTGAGGAAACCCTACCTCATCAGTATTGTAGATGATCTGGAGTCCCGAGGAAATCATTTCCACAAGGTAAAGGAGGTAGAGGGACACTGCATTGATCTGAAAGGTCACAGTAAACACAAAAATAGCTATGAAATCAAATGTTCAAGCTAAACTTACAAGTCTTTTGCTTTAATACTGTCACTCAAAAACTATTTCCTTTCCTGTGAAATAATGGAAGTATAAACTTAATTCACAATGAAATCAAAGCTTTGAATGTAAAATTCTAAAATCCTTATCCTATTCCTTGATTAGGAAAGTGGCTGAAAGTAGAACTATTGATAACTATCTCTACAGCATGTCTTTGCTAACATATACTTTCAAGCTCTGAGTGTAATTTATTTTTACCTCAGAACACCTTTACCCCAAAAGAAGCAACAGAATAGTAATCTATCTCAAACACAGGTGAGTGAAAAACTTATTTGGTAAGCAAGACATTATAACCATGCCAGTATAGAAATAACAATATGCAATCCATCTTGAAATGTGCCTTATCTTCAGAGAACACAGCATTTATATAATACATTAATATTCATCAATATAAGTCTACTAATTAAAAACAGATATATAACATAAACAGAAAAACACAAAATCATAGCTACTTTTCACTTTAATGAAAAAAAAAAAGGTTCTCATAGAATCTTCAGTGGAATATATAAATTATTAGATACAGAAGGAGTAAAGATAGAGGCCACAACAAACGCCAACCTAGCATAACCACTGAAGGTTTGGATCACAAACTGTATGGATAAAGAAATACGTACAAAACTATCAAAGCTAATTTCCAGGTGTAGCTCTATGAAACAATGGACTGAGTGGGGAAGATTCAGGCTAACGTGAGGTGGCATCATCCAGTTGGCTGGGGCTCTACATGTTACAAAAGAGGCAAAGAGCAAATTCTTGCTTCTCTCTTATGCGGTCTCCTGCCCTGGGATAAGTATGCAAGGTTCTCTAAGACAGCTTTCTTGAGGACACTGGGCTTGCTGAGTCGTCCCACTAGGAGTAACGGTATCAGGATCTCTGGTTATGAGGCTTTTTAAAATTTGGACTACTGGCAGCCTTTATGTCCCAATTTGCAGATGGCTGCATGGGACTTGTCAGCCTCATGGTCCTGTGGCCTGACTCCTCTGACAAATACCTTCTTGTGTATCTTCACACACACACACACACACACACACACACACACACACACACACACACACACACACAGCTCTATCTCTCTGGAAGACTCTAATGAATGAACTTAGAGAATGTTACACTTAACCAAAGATACTACATATACACGATCTTATATTATGTAATCCCTTTATATGAGTATCAAGAATTAGTAAATACACAAAGACAGTTGACTGGTGTTTTTCCTACAGCTGTGGAATTCAGGGTTTCTTTTTGAAGTGATAAAGACTGATTTTGATAACTTTGTGAATATACTTCAAACCACTGAATGATACTATTTAAATAGGTGAATTATACCATGTGAATGATGTCTCAATAAAGCTGTTATTAAATGTGAAAAAAGGCAGCCCAAAATTTTAACTTAGCCATCAAAATGCAAATGCCAATTTAAGTCCATTGAAAAGAAGATGTAAATCTCTCCTAGACAAGCCTAACATAGATTAACATTTCTCTTTAAGAGTCCTGGTGCCTTGTGTCTGCCTCAGTTTGCCCCTATTCCTTTCTGGGCAACTGAGAAAAAAGTTGGCGCAGTAACTTCCTGGTGCCCAGGAAAACCTGGACAAATCAGCAATGTGTGCCACTAGTATCTGGCATTTCTGGTCTATGCTGGATGCCTCCTAACTTCTCAGGTCTCAGGCTCCAGGGAGTGTCAAGCCTGACAAGGTCATATTCTGGTTTTAATGTCTGAGACTGACATGAACTTTTCAGTGATCTTCATCAACAAGTGGGAAAGAGTCTGAGTGCACTGCCGGCCTCACCTAAGGACCCTCTCATGGCACTGCCACCAGGCTTTTCTTCAGCCTTCCAGTGGCACACTTTTACCTTTATTCACATTTAATATATTACGAAAGCAATGGCAAATAAGAAAAACTTGGGATTTTCTGTTATATATTATCAGTTACAGTCATGAACCCACACCTGTGGTTAGGATTTCACTTTTTTTCTGCATTCAAGGTTCATTTTATAGTTTCATTTTAAATAAAATCTAAAATATATTTTTTCTTAAAATTTAAATTTCTACGCATGGAAAAGAAAAGTTGTGATTTCTCCCTTTTACCTGAAGATGACCATATTCCTCATAGGACAGTAATTCATCTCCCGTCTGCACATTGAAGACAGAGTGGAGACAGGTTGTTGGGCGTGGATCTTGCTTAAACTGCTGGACCTGCAATGAAATAACCAATTCAGAGAAGGCTGATAATTCACATATTCATCTAAGACTAGTACACATACTATTTTTCATTAAATATTTTAATGCAGAAAACAAAGTCTTAGGAGGAGTGAACAAGGCAGAAATGGGACCATTTTAAACAATAAGGGTCATTAGTACAAATTTAACAGTGAACATGAGTATGAACTACTACTCCGCAAGCAGAGCAACTCGAGTGTAATCACGAGCATGTCAATGAAGGAGAAATGGCTTTTGCCATGCTTTCCATCTTATTTTACTTTGGAGTAAAATGCTGAATCACTTTGTGAAGCAGGATTTCATGATTGTAGTCCACTGTGCTATTACCTGGAAACGCTGGCATGACACTCCAAATAAAAAAGGACTTGAGACCACATTCTAGTTCGTAAGTGTTCAAACTTGGTACATAATTTCTCTAAGGATCACAGATTTTAACCTAGGCATCTGTTAACAAGTTATCATTTTTCTTTCTGCATACACGCTCATAACTCAGACATTAGTTCTAAACACAGGTCACATCCATATTTACTAACTAGACATAAAATACTTTCTGGAATTATACTGATAAATGATCTAACACACAAACATCAATGACAAAAAAAAAAAAAAACATACAACCATTTCCTTAGGGCCTGATTCAGTTCTCCCTGGCAAAATGTGTCAAGTACTGTGTAAACCTCAGAGGATAAGATAAATAGGAAACAAAAAATAAATACAATTAAGCATTGCTCTATGTAAAGGCAATGATTTTCTTCTCTCTGAAGAGATGTAAAGGATGATGATGATACCTAGATGGTTCTAATATTGCCTCCTTTTATTTGGTAAAGGAGCCATCTAGAATCCTACTGTCATTTGTACCCATTGTGTAGAAATAATGCTGAATGGGTTGTATCTCTTTAAGATCACGTGGGATCGCTGATTTCTGCAAAAGAAAACTAAGCATTCTCATCTACTTAATTTTCTTCTTTTTCTTTCATTTGATTCACCATTAACTCCATAATTCATGTCATTTATTTTTTCTGATTAAAGTCTAAGTTTCCCAGGATAAAAAAAAAATGAAAAGAAATAAAGAATGAACCCTATTGTCTTCTCCATCTTTCAAATAAAATTTTCTCGTCCTTAAAACCAATCTCAGAGACATTTTTACAAATTCCTAACCCAATTTCTGATTCCTTTCTGAGGACTCCCATATAATATTAACTATTTCCCTCTTGTACTTTTATTAGTTGTCTTTTTCTCCCAGGGATATTGAGAAACATGAGGATATTTCCAAAAAGTTCACGGAAAATGGCATTAAAAGATGTTTATTATGATGTAAAACTGTTTTGAAATCTGTTCAGTTTTCACAATACATGTTTTTCATCAACTCTGGAAGATTTCACAGGCATGGATTTCTATTTAAACTTCTGTGTTTGTGCTTCTGAGTGACTCTTTCTGCAGGTTCGTGGCCTATCAAGCAGATCTGAGCCAAAGCCAGGAATTCCATTTGGGTCTCCCATCTGGGCAGCAGGGACTGAAGCACTTGAGCCAGTATCTGCTACTCCCCAAGTATACTACCAGTGATCTAGGTTGGAGGAAGCATAGCTGGGATTTGAACCACACTTGAACATGAGATGCAGGCATTCCTTTAAAGGGCCTGCTGATAGGCCTAGGAGCAGCTTCAGAACAGAGGTAGACAGTGCTGCTTGCTGCCAGAGAATCCAACCACAAGACCAGGTTGTCCCTACCCCATATTTCAACCAATCTTCTTAGTAACTTATGTAGTAACTAACGGCTAGTAATTTTAACAGTCATGCTGGAATAAATATCCTCCATAAGAACCTGGAGGACAGTTTGGAGTTTCTGGGCTGGTGAACCCATCAACATGGCAGAGGACTGCAGACCTCAGAAGACAGGCACACCAAAGCCAGGTACTCAGGACATTTTTCAATCTTGTCCTGCAGAACACATCATCAGCCAGTTCATTTGAATCTTTCATCGTATCTTTTAGTGAAATCAATGATAAATAGCGTGTGCTCTGACTTTTGTGGACTGCTCTAACAACGTTTAAAGCCGGCTATGAGGATCACGAGGATCTCTGGTTTTATCCAAGTCAGACAAAATTGCGGATAACTCCAGGGAGCTTCCAGTGTGACTGCTGTCTAATGTAGGACTGACCCTTTAACCTGTGGCAGAATCAAGTTAACTTGCAGAGGGCCTAGTTTTTCACATAGGGGGTATATTTCTTGGAACTCTTCCATCCATATCACAGTTCTTGGGTTTGATTCCTGCCCTCTGCTCTCAAATCTGCTAATTCTGTTCATGTACAGTCCAGAAAGCAGCAGGTGAGAGCCAAGGGAGCTGGCTTTCTATCACCCACAGGGAAGACATGGATATTGTTCCAAGTTTCTGGTTTCAAGCATTTGGGAAGAAAAGCAACAGACAAAAAATACCGCTATCTGTATCCTCTGTCTTCCAAATAAATAAAATTTTTAGTAAAGTTAAATTGTAGGATAATTGGTGCTTCTATTTGGTGTGAAAAATATACATAGCTGATGTCAGAAGTATTGTGAGTAGAGGAATGCTTTTCTTTTTGACTCTTACTAGTTAGTAAAACTCTGGAAGCTACACTGTGCACATAGGTGCTATCCACCAGCAATCCGTGACAAATCGGCGCTAAATCAGAGAGGCGAGACTACTGGCTACTATGCTGCACAACAACACAAGTTAGAATATTATGTTGCCTATCATAACAAATCTACTAAGTAGTGCTGTTGTGGAGAGCTGATTTACCTTTATTTTTTTCTCCAAGTGCCCTGCACACACAAATCAAAAAATGAGAGTTCAGTTAGGGATGTACCTTTCCTATGACAGAATACCCAAGTCATCCAATATTAACTCAAACAAGGAGTCTACCCTATTGCAAATGCAAAGCTTCTAGCAAGAGCCTAAAGCTACACAAATAGCAATCGATGTGATCACTCCTTTGATACTATCATGGTTATTATTTCAAAGTCCTGAACATTATTCTGGGTTCCTACACAAGAACGTCACTAAAGTCAAACAAAATACGTATTTCCTATTTGACTGCTCTCTAAAAGGATAAGGCCTTACCAGTATAATAGAGTTACTGCTACAGATAAAAAAGTGGTATTGGTCATTTGTCTTTAAGACATTCAAGAACTCAGTAGGAGAACTTACACTGAATCGCTATGTCAGGGGAAAAATTTAAGTAGGCGACTAAAGACTATCAAATGGGGAATTATGTAACCAGGTTTCGCGTTTGAAAGCTGCAACAAGCTCAGTAATTTAAAATTTCAAAAAAAAAATTAGACCTAAACTCTAGAATCTTTGAAGATTAGTGGGGCATGTTGTATGTATATCATTTACAAACAAAGAGTACTCTTAAAAGCAGTCAAAAACAAAAGGACATTAATTATTATTTTATTCAGTGTTGCATTTGGGAACTAAATATAAAGAATTATATGCACAAAACTTTTCAAGCAAAGATACATCTAGAATAGTGCTTTTTTTTTAAGATTTATTTATTTTTATTGGAAAGTCAGATATGCAGAGACAAGGAAAAACAAAGAGGAAGATCTTCTATTTGATGGTTCACTCTCCAAGTGGCCACAACAGCTGGAGCTGAGCGGATCTGAAGCCAGGAGCCAGGAGTTCTTCCAGGTCTCCCACGTGGGTGCAGGGTAACAATGCTTTGGGCCATCCTCAACTGCTGTCCCAGGCAACAAGCAGGGAGCTGGATAGGAAGCAGGGCTGCCAGGATTAGTACTGGCACCGTTATGGGATCCCGGCACATATAAGGGAGGACTTTAACCACTACGTTATTGCACCAGGCCCTATTCAGCTTTTTAACTTTCGATTTTCTGTGAAAACTATTACTATTACGAATAAACCATTGCTCAATAGGACCACGAAGCTGGGTATTTTGTCATACATTCATATTTTATAACCTTGAAATGTGTGCTTAAAGGAAAATAGTTATCTTATGAGGGAATCCTGGAAGGATAAAGCTTATAAAATTTTAACGATTTCTCATTAATTAGAAATGACTTAGCATTGTAAACAAATGTTTTAAGTAGATAATAAGGCACAATAACATTCACAGCCTATTATAAAGGAAATCTCTGCACCCTAAAGTACTAATTACATATGAAAACAACCTAAGCTCTCTCAAAGATCTCCTGAAGTATTAGAAAACTAGGGTCACCCAGAACCCTGGCATCCCAGAGAAGCATCAGCTCGGGTCTCAGGTGCTCTGCTTTCTACCCATCTCCCTGCCACTAAAACCGGAGCACAGCAGGTCCTGCTACCCAAGGTGGGACCTGGATGCAGCTCCTGGTTTCTGTTTTGGCCTGGCGCATGCCTGGTCATTGTGACCATTCAGGAAGTCGAAGGCACATGTTAGATTTCTGTTTCTCCCTCTCACTGTAATCCTGCCTTGCAAATACACAGAAATTTTGAGAAAAGATACATTAGAAAAGATGGTCAATGACGGAATATATATATATGGGTCATTAGTGTAAAACATACCTGAGATTAGGAATTGCGATATTCAACAAGACAATACAACACAGAGAGTAGATTAGTTTATATTACATAAATCAATGATAATGTGCTCCAATTTGCAATAAACTGTATTACATTTTTCAATAAACTTAAAACATTACTTTCAGCTAATAAATTAAAGATGTATTTCTTTTTATTGGAAAGGCAGATTTACCCAGCGAAGGAAAGACAGAGAAAAAGATCATCCATATGCTTGTTCACTCCACAAGTGGCCACAACGGCCAGAGGTGAGCTTATCTAAAGCCAGGAGCCAGGAACTTCTTTCTGGGTCTCCCATGCAGATGCAGGGTCCCAAGGCTTTGGGCCGTCCTCGACTGCTTTCCCAGGCCACAAGCAGGGAGCTGGATTAGAAATGGAGCAGCTGGGATATGAACTGGTGCCCCAATGTAATCACGGCATGTGCAAGGCGGGGACTGACCCATCCAGCTTGGTGCTCAGCTAATATTTTTTAAAAATGTATCGAGAAAATTAAAAAAAAAAAAAAGTATCGAGAAGCATGCAAGGCATGAGACATCAGTAAGAGTGAAGAAGCCCTAGAATTTTTAGGTAATCATTTCACTTCAAAAGACAGAAAACACAGTTTTCAATACCAAAGGAACACTACAAGTGTGTCTTTAGCAACTTAAAAAATTTCACATTTAAAATATGCTCATATTTCTTACTGCTATAGAATGATGAGCAAAATGGCCAAGAGGAACAGAACAGTCAGCACAAAGAAGTGAGGACTGAGTTGGATTAATAGAACAATCTCTGATTCAGTTTATGAGACTCACATGTGGATTACAACCCTGTTTCTTAAACTAAAATGTTAGAGAGATAAACAAAGATTATAGCACTGAAGATCCTTCAAAATTTGTAAGGCATTTTTAAACACAATAGTATCAAAACCCAGGCATGTTGTGGTATACATGAATACTCAGCATGACACATATATTCTTGAAAAATGTATTTGTATCATAATAGCCACACAAGGAAAGGAGTGCTAATATTTTAACTGAAGAAATTTAAAATAGATTAAGCACACTCAAACTATTTAAAAGAATCCATAATTGTGTTCATTGATTAGTAAAATTGAATAATATTTAGATAAGGGTACTAACAATTGACTGACTATCCCACAAAGAATCCTAAGCTACTCTGTCATTGATTTCTTCTGTTAAACAATTTTAAGTCTGTTGTTTTCTAGGTAGAAAATGGGTAAATAAAGACATTAAGAGTTCATGAAATGATACATAGCAAATAAACATGAGTAACATGACACACCGAGGAAAAAATAATTTTACCACAACTACATCAAAATAAACATTCTTGATTAATACAAGTAGATCAATATGTAATACTTTATCTCAGCAGCCTTTTAAACACCCTTGAAATAATGATTTGCAAAGTCAAATATTAATTGATAAGTTATAAGTCTGTCAGTATATGAATGGATTAATTCTTTTTGTCAAATAACTTTCTCATTATCATATTCTGGCAGCAGAATATAAATGACTTTTTAAAAAAATCTGACTTCTAATACAGGTCTTTAAAAGATGTGCCATCAGTTTTAAAATTCTTTCCAAGCATAAATTCAAACTTAACATATTGATAAGATAAAATATATGCATTCAAAAAAGCCTGTGTAATTAGCGTTGTGCATTAAAATGCAGACTGCATGGTCTGGAAGCAAAACCAGCTATTATTAATGGTTATAACAATAAATATTGACTGCATGATCACTTAGTTGCCTTTCCATGGAAATATTGAATGTACATATAATTAGCAAAAGCAAAGAAACTGAGGCACAGGGAAGTTAAATAATTTGCCAGATTTTACATGCACAGCACAGATTAGTAATCAGTGCACTCAGTTACACTTATCAATCAGAGAAAAATTTACATAGTAGGCCCAAGACTGCTCATCTTAGAAACGACTGCACAGATCCCCTTGGCCAATATGAAGGAATTTGGATTTGACATGTGTTTCTACACAAGACTGACTGGCTCATTAGGTCTGAACTCTTTCTATAAAACAATTTAAGTTATGTTAAACAACACATTCCACTCTGAGAACCTAGAATTTTTTTTTTTTTAGGAAAAGGCACCTCTATGACCTGGTAGACAACGTTTTATAAGTGCTGTCACGATGAATTTCCAGGGCAATTAAGGCTATTAGATCTAGTCATGGTCCCCAGCCTTTTCCTCCTTATGCTTTATCCCCTTTCACTTTAATAAACCAGAGCAAATACTATGAGTATCCACTGACCCAAGTGACTCCTCCTAGTGATCACCTAACCTGGGGTTGTTTTTGGGGACCCACAGTGACCTAACGCATACGGACACTGACTGTATTAACATATGGGGACACAGAGATACTGACAAAAGTAGACAAAACAGCACATTATGCTTACACACAGCTTACAATTTCAAAAATTTGGGGATATTTTTAGTTTTCATATAACTCCATATACTTTAGTTTCTTAACCTCTACTTTCTGGATTGTACATGTAAATGAAGAAAATACCATATTTTTAAATTTTAGAGTTCACTTTAGCGAGGGAAATTTATGTCCCAAGGTAATTTGTCCCAAGGTAATTTGACATAAATTTTCTTCAAGTAGGAGATAATGGTTGAAATCAAGGATATTTGTTCCAAAAAAAAAAAAAAAAAATCAGCTCTTCATCAAGCAAATACCAGGTGCAAAACATGAACCAACTGTAAGCCCAAATAACAGTAGGTAATCACCACTAGCTTAAGGTGTCCTTCTATGTTAGGATTGCAAATCCTTACCTGGGACGGAACAGGCTGCTTTAAACCCTCTAGAATACCCTAGGGTATGGTTTTACCTTTTTAAAGTAATTCTTCCTTGCTATGGCAAAGAAGATGCTATGGCAATACTGGTTAAATTAATCCTTCCGAAGGATGTGAGAATTCCAGTCCACACCGCAGTGTTTTACCTTATCGGCCTGGCGCATATAGCAGTAGAGAATTCCTCTCATACATTTTATAGCCGAATGCTCCAGCTCATGAGTCCTTCCCTTGTCATCATCAATGCGCCTGGGCGAGAGAGATAACTCATGAAACAAATTGGAAATACATCTGGAAAGGAAGCAAAGCTTTTTATAATTAAGTATTTAACTATCTGGCTAATCCTGTGTTCCCATGATGTCTACTAATTCTGTCACAGTGAAACTTCATTTTCCCAGCAAATGTAGAAGTGCTGCAATTAAGAAAAAAAAAAAGTCCTATGATGAATCCTGTACATACTTTCCTTCTTTTTTTTTTTAATTAAAGAAGCAAGCCAACGGCTTTATCAATAACATATTTTGTACAATGATTTGACTGAAACTTTAAACTACAATTCCACATTAGAAAAAATCCATCAAGATATTTTAAAAAATGCATAATTATAGAATGAGGGCAATTTTAACACTTATTACTTTAGGTCATGCAATGGCCACAAGGGTTTAAAGAAGTACAGGTTAGGATAAATATGTGCTTTCTTTGCTCTGCTATAATAGCATCTTGTGACTTTAGTCAGAGTCAAGCATGTCTTCAACACACCATACAAAACACATGGTATACGTGAGCATAGAGTTTTGTATTCATAGGTCTTAATTTAAAATCAACGTACTCCAGTTTGTATCTCTTGTTAAAGATAAAAATAATAATAAAGGACAACTAAAATCCATTAAACTAGGTTAAGATTCTCTGTTTAAAACTTGCAATATTTTTAAAAGATTTTTTGTTTATTGGAAAGTCATATACACAAAGAAGAGGAGAGACAGAGAGGAAGATCCTCCATCCAATGATTCATTCCCCAAGTGGCCTCTAAGGCTGGAGTTGAGCTGATCCGAAGATAGGAGCCAAAATCTTCTTCCGGGTCTCCCACATGGGTGCAGGGTCCCAAGACTTTGGGCTGTCCTAGACTACTTTCCCAGGCCACAAGCAGGGAACTGGATGGGAAGTGGAGCTGCCGGGATTAGAACCGACGCCCATACGGGATTGTGACGTGTGCAAGGTGAGGACTTTAGCCGCTAGGCCACTGTGCCGGGCCCAAGAGAATGATTAATATCTTTAAACAGGATGGTGTCAATAAAAAATAAGTTGCAGTAAAATTTATTGTAAGTTTGCTCTACAGTTTATTACCCCGCTGCCTCATTACACAAGCATTTTTAAAGGTAGAAATGCCATACAAATAATGCATCCTGCAAAGTACAGATTTTAAAGTCTTTATCAGATGGTTTGAAGCCTTTTTGAAAAAGGTTAATGTCTGACATTTATCCACATGCTGCCCACACTCTAACATTTAGTACTGCCATTTTCTTCCACCCTTTTATTTAGAAAATTTTAAATCTACAAAAAAGAGAAACCAAATAAATAAAAAGAAAGAAAGAAAGAAAGAAAAACCCCAAACAGATGGGATAAAGAATAAATCTTTCACTGTTCAGCTGGTAACATGGGTTTATAGTCATTAGCTTTTTCCTCTTACTATTTGAAAGAAATCATAATTCTTCAACTGTACACTCTCCAAAAGTATGTCTTATGAACAAAAAATTAATATGGATATTATGTTATCTAATACATAGTCTAAATTAAAACTTACAAATTATCTCCAAAATGTACCTTGCTGTTTTTCAAAGTTTAAACCAGTCAACGATTATATATTATAGTTGGCTGTTACATTTGTTCAGTCTCTTAACCTAGCCACACTCATACTTTTTATTTAAATAAAAAGCAGACTCACAGAAATGAAACTTAGACAAACACTTAGACAAACACTGCCTCAACCACCAAGTGGCTAAATGGCTGAGGATGGGCCAGGTGAAAGCAGCAAGTGAAGAACCAGGAACCACATCTGAGTGAGCCACATGGTACAGCAGCCCAAGCACATGGGGCATCTTTTACTGCTGCTTCGGTACCATTACCAGGATCACAAATAGAGCACCAAGGGGCTGCTTTGTGACACTGCAGCTTAAGATAGCTCCTCGAGCACCAGCATCCCAAGTGGGCATAGGTTCGAGATCCCACTGCTCTACTTCCAAGACAGCTATCTGCAATTGCACCTGGGAAGGCAAGAGAAGATGGCATAAGTGCACCTCCGCATCCATGTGGTGGGAGACGCAGAAGAACTTCCTGGCTTTGGGCTTTGGCCTGGCCCAGTTCCAGCCATTGTGGCCATTTAGGGAGTGAAACAGATAATCAAAGATTCTCTCTATCCCTTCCTCTCTCCCTCTAATACTTTCTAAATAAATAAAATAAATATTTTAAAAAAAAAGAGCAAGAAAAGTAGAGCAACTAGGACGGAAATCAGCACTAAGACACAGGATGTCAGCATCAGAGGCATATCAGCCTTAACCTACATTTCCAGAACACTGGTCCCAGACACCAATGTTTTTCAAGAGTCCAGGCAACTGGTTTTGAAGAAGTCACAATTGAATAGTCTCTGATTATTTACTATGGACAGACTCTAGTCAGGCCTAAGTCAGCATATGTGATTCAGCAAATCAGAAGGCCCTGAACATTAAGCTATATTGATATTGGCTTTCCCTCTGAGGAAATGCTCCTGATGGTGGATAAAGCTGCCATCCACAACACAGGTGCAGGCAGCCCATATGAGTGTCAGTTTGAGTCTCAGCGGCTCTGCTTTTGAACCAATTCCCTATTAGAACACTTAGGAAAGAAGCAGTTCTTTCGTTTTTGTTTTTGTTCTGTTTTAATTTGAGAGGAAGAGACAGAGAGCAGCCATGCTCTGGTACCAATGTAGCCATGACATTTGCACATCTGTTCTTTGGAAGTATTCTTCCCAAGATCTCTCAGTGTAGGGAATGGGAACTGATGCTGGGCTTCCCAGGTATGTGGTAGGGACCTAACTACTTGAACTGCTGTCTTTCATTATTCAAAGTTAGCAGGAAGCTAGAAGCAGGAATGAATGGAACAAGTAGGCACTCCAATAAGGCACACTGGCATTCCAATTGGCATTGTAAATACTATACCCAAAACCTGCTCCAAGGCTCCAATTTTATGACTTTAAAAATTCACTCACCATCAATTCCTTCTATGATTAGAAATAATCAACACAATGAGAAAAAGGTAACTACGTCAGTTTTGCAAAGACACGGTGATTAAGGGCCTGGCACGGTGGCCTAGTGGCTAAGGTCCTCGCTTTGAAACACGCCGGGATCCCATATGGGCACCAGTTCTAATCCTGGCAGCTCCACTTCCCATCCAGCTCCCTGCTTCTGGCCTGGGAAAGCAGTCGAGGACAGCCCAAAGCTTTGGGACCCTGCACCCATGTGGGAGACCTGGTGGAAGTTCCTGGCTCCTGGCTTCGGATTAGCATAGCACCTGCTGTCACACTCACTTGGGGAGTGAATCATCAGACGGAAGATCTTTCTCTCTCTCCTTTTCTCTGTATATCTGACTTTCCAATAAAAATGAAATGTTAAAAAAAAAAAAAGACATGGTGATTAAGAAAACTACAGAAAAAAATGACCATAAATTCATCAAACCAAAGAAACAACGTAATGTAAACTCTTAGCCAATGAAAGCTTAGAGGCCACAAATGGGACATGGGCAACAACGCGTCACACATCAGTAATACAACCAAAATGCATCTAACTGCTCTATTTGTCTTGGTTCCACACCAGCTCACCTGTACGCAAGAGCCAAAGCCCAGGCCCCAGCAGCACAGTACAGGCTGTCGTGGATCTTGGCCTTCTGATCACCACCGCAGGTTTTAGTGGGAAACAGACCTGTGGTTGGGCTTTGATACAGCAGCAACGTTGACTTGACTGCAGAGGAAGACAAGACAAAGAATGAATAACACATCTAGGCATTTACCTTAGGATGAAAGATCTTAATCCTTTTTGATTTTCTCATCCTATTTCTAATAATTTTGCTGTTTCTAAATTTAGCTGTAGTATAAAATACATGTGAAAATTACTTCATGTCCCTGTAACCAAAATGGAAATCAACCCTAGAAGGAAGAGGTCTTTCAAGTTTGGTGGAGAGGGCTCAGCCAATTAAGGCAATTATAGAAGCTTGAGCATATCCTGGTCAAGTTAATAAGAGTCAGAAATCATATAAAGTTAAAATCAGGTAACAACACCAAAAAAAAGCAATCACAGTATTTTTTTTAATCAATTAAATAGGAAACTTAAAATAAATGTACAACAAACAGTAGCATATATCTGCTAAGTGACAAACCCAATCTTAATACTATAAGTAATTTACCAACATATGAAGGGGGAGGAGAGATCACAAAATAGCCAGCTACTAATGAGTGCCTAGTGTTCAAAGGAACACATATATTCTCTTTATCATCTATACAGATCCAGTATGTATAACATTTCAAAACTGAAACATCTTTATAGAAAATGGAAATTGTAGCAAGCAAGTAATTGTGAACATCTTGCTTAAGTCTAGAATTAATGTTTTATAACTTTTCATAAAATAATCCTAAAAAAAGAAAACAAGCAAACTAAAATCACACTCCTAGGGAACTACTTTACTTCTAACTACAAAAGGCATGGTTTTCCAAAATACAGTAAATTAATATAATCTAGATTGGTGTGTGTTGACTAGTTTCTAGAATGGCTTTTCAAAGATCTAAAATAAAATACTCTCTTCCTAGACATAGATCAAAGAATTAAAATTTACTTGTCTTTGTTGCACACTAACCTGATTCTATAATTGTTTTTCTCAGAATGCCAGGGAGTTTATTATTTTTCTCAGAGTAAAACATCAACTTCCATAGTGCAAAATAATTGAAATTTCTTTAAAAACTCTAACTCCATTTATTTAGTTACTAATACCAAGATAATGACAACATACGCAAAAGCATGCCAAGATTTTTTTTTTTAATTTGAAAGAAAGAAAAGAAGGGGCAAACAGATAGATCTAGAAAGATCTTCTATCTATAGATTTACTTCTGAAATGTCTGTTAACAGCTGGTACTGGGCCAGGTCAAAGTCAGGAGCCAGAAACTCAATCAGGGGCTCCCCATGGGCGGCAAGGACTCAAGTAATTGAGGCATCACCTGTAGCTTCCCAGGGAACACATTAACAGGAAGCAGCAACTGAAAGAGGGAGCCAAGACTTCACCCAAGCACTGAAATACAGGATGCAGGATCCCAAGCAGCATCTTCCCTAGGGCACCAAACACCGCCTAATGTCAGAACCTTAACCAAAAGAAACAGAATTCAAGGTTTACACAAGGTTGAAACAGACAAAAATCTAGTAGGGGAAGGCAAGTTAAATGTTATTTTCTATACTAGGACAAATAAATGAAACAAGTAGTAAATTTAGAAAAAATTAATAGGAATTTGTATTTAGAGTCAAGCAAAGAGAAATCCCACATATACAAATTTCAAAGTTATGGGGCCTTCAGTAGCTAAGAAGCTAAAGTCCTTGCCTTGTACATACTGGAATCCCATTTGGGTGTCAGTTCATGGCTCCAAAATACTCCACTTCCCTTCCAGTTCCCTGCCTATAGCCTGGGAAAGCAGCCTTGGGACCCTGAGTGGGATACCTGCAGGAGGCTCCTGGCTCCTGGCTTTGCATCAGCTCAGTTCTGGTCGTTGTGATCACTTGGGGTTTAAACCAGTGGATGGAAGATCTTTCCCTCTTTCTCTCTACTTCTCTCTGTATATATGCCTTTCCAATAAAAATAAATAAATTTAAAAAAAATTTTTTTGAAAGTCGCTTATTCATATTAAATTTGCCAGGCTCATGCTAAAAAAGCAAAATAAAAGAAACAAAGAAATCAATGAGATGTAATTAATAATAATAAAAAAACTTGAAATTATCTATTATATCAACAAATTAGAAATGAATATGAAATGGGAACTAGGTATACATAAATGAGTAACACAAAATATCTGTCTAAGAATAAGTAGCAAGCTCTCAACTCTGGTAATGCTTACAAAGTTTAAATGCACAGAAGATATTGTGACAGTTCTTAAATTAGTTCGAGCTACATATGACCTGTGAGATTCCTATACAGACCCAAGATTGATGCATAACTGGAATATGCAATTACCTAAGCACTTAAACTACCACAACATCCATTTAACAGAACATCACCCACATAACGTGCATTCTATACTGTACGCAGCAAATGCCAATCACAGCTAACTAAGGATATGTCTTCCTCAGGTTATGCTTACCAATCTTGTAATAATGATCCAGTTTATCCCACAGAGTTTCATTATCAGCTCTTGGAAGATTAATGCTTTTAAGAGGTTCATAAACTGAGCCTAAAAAAAAAAAAAAAGATGAAAATCCATCAAATTCTGCAGTATCTATTCAGGTTAAAAAGAAGAAGAAGAAAAACTAAAGAAATGAAGTACTACCTAACCCAATCATCCTTTCTATACATGAGCTAGCATATTTCACTGCTGGGAAAAGCACCATGAAAGGAAATACAGAAAAGCTAAATGTCACAAGACACTCCCATCCTCACCCCCAGCATGGAATCCAGTTAAGTAATGTGTACACTAGTCTCAACAACACCAGATATCACTAGTACATACAAAGTGACCAAAAGATCAATAACTTGTAGTTCTTTAGAAATACACATAAATTCAAACCTTACTCCTAATATGGTTGTTTTCAGCAGGTTACTTTTAATCAAATGATCATACCCAAATCATCCAGGAAAACAGACAACACTCATATGTGCCAAAACCATCCTCTCCAAGCAAGTTCAACTAGATTTCACACTGAAATTCTTGCATAACACCCTTGCCTGATTCTCTGCACTACAAGCAGAGACCCTCACATTTCTCAGTCATGAGAAGTACTCCAAGGTGTTAGCACAGCATGCTACAGGTCATACAATAATCGTGACGATTTTTCACAAAATGGAAACAAGACTGTTCACTTGACTAGTTGTACTTTCTTAACTACTGACTGAAAGAAAGACATTTGACCTTCATAGCAGACAAAATACTCTCATTCTTGTAAAAGCACTCAGAAATCATAAACATCTCAAGGTCACAATTAATCCAGGTAATGCATACCACACAGACTAAATAACAACAGTGTGCAAAAAAATGACCCTAGACTTTACCAGAGGCTAACAGAGGATCATGTTGGCATGCGATTCTTCTTAAATAATTAAAGCATATCTTTCATTACATAGTTACACCAATTACATCATTTAAAGCCAGAGTATTGGGAGTCCCTTTGATATTAAGGCCAATGGTAAACATTGTAAAGGAATGTAAGGAAAAGACAATACTTTGATTTTCTTTGGTTGAAAAGAAATGATTCATGGACAAAAGTGAGGAGTAAAAAATGACCTGTTCTTAGAGAAGTGATTTTCTAAAAACATTCTTCCAAATGGCACCAAATAGAAATGGTTCCAAAGTGAAGAAAGACCTACAAACATTAAATAGGAAAATATCAGGTTTCTGTGCCTCATCCTGCACATAGGGTAAGGGCCTAACCATGTTCTGCTTTCTTCTTGCATTCAACTAGCTTCTAGTAGGTAAAAGTACATGAGCAGGCTAGCAATTGGGAAGGAATCAAAAGGCCACCGTGGTGTCTGTATATAATAAATAAAGCTCTGGAGTCTGTACATTGCCAGTGAAGCTCACACACTAAAAAAGGCACCAGCAACATCAGACACATAATCCTGAGTTATATTCACTGTATGCATATACACAGATGCACAGGGATATGTTTGCTGGGGGAATGGAATATGAATGCAAAGTGGTTTTGTTGTTTATTTACAGCTCTATTAGTGGAGCTAGTGTTTTAGAAAGAAATAAAATCATACACAGTTGAATGCACATTTAAGCATAATTAAATAATAAATGTACATATGAATAAACAGACTATGTAAAACTAAAATAACCTGCATTACAGTAGCACAAAAACTGACTGAAAAACTTATTTCTAAATATTGCTATTAAATTTAAGAATAAATGGACTAAAATAACTCTACTAATTTTTCTAGAAAAATCACCAATCGAGTTATTTTAAAAGAAGTAAGAAGCATGAAGGGAAAAATGACTTTTTCATTATATAACTCAAATTTCTTCACTGCATCCAAAAATAATTTGACTCAGCAACACTTTGATGATCCCTTAGTTTTCTCATTTCTTCATACACAATGACAGACTAAGACAAATACCATCATTTAGTCATTCCATTAATAAGGATAGTATAAATGTAACACTGCACCATACAACCAGCACACTATCAGGATTACAGCACAGGAGGAAGGGCATGAGAACAATTAAATAAGGAAAAGCACAAGGTACTGAGTGACAGAACATATTAAATCCTAACAGCAGGGGAAAAAATCAGTAAACTAAATATGAAACTAAGAGGGCATGAAACTATAAAAATGTATATATACCTGGACACATGTTTAGTAATTCTGATTGGAAAGCTTAAGAAACAAGATATTACACACTAAAACGTTACAAATGATACTCATAAAAATGTTTAGGTAAAGAAGCTATAACAATAGGAGGTAAATCCTATTTAAAAACTAACTCAAGGTTATTCTTTCATAAGAATTATGCCATAAATCAAATTCTCACTTGCTTCTTATTTTCTTCCTCAATTATAGTAATTCCTTTTAAAACTAAAAATAATATATAAATACATATAAAACTGTATCACATTAATAGAATTATCACTAACATTTTGGTGCATTTATTTTAAGAAATTTCTTTAAATTATTAGAATCATACATAAAAATACATCACAAATGCAATCATTATATAAAAGGATATTTCAAAAAGTTCATAAAGGATAGGTACAATGGCTCAAGTGGTAAATCCTCTACCTCCAAGCACCTGGATCCTAGACGAGCACCAGTTCACATCCCAGATGCTTCACTTCCCAGCTAGCTCTCTGATTGTGGCCTAGAAAAGCAGTGCAAGACGGCCCATGTACTTGGGATCCTGCATCCCCTGTGTCAGAACCAGAAGCAGCTTTTGGCCTCTGGCTATGCATCAGCTCAGCTCTGGCCATTGCAGTGATCTGGAGAGTGATCCAGCGAATGGGAGCTCTTACTCTGTGTCTTTCCTTTGCTTTCCAATGAAAATGAATATAATCTTAATTTTAAAAAAGTTCAGGGCCCAGCGCAGTAGCTTACTGAATAGAGTCCTCGCCTTGCACTTGCCAGGATCACAGGTGGGCACGGGTTCCTGTCCTGGCTGTTCCACTTCCCATCGAGCTCTCTGCTTGTGCTCTGGGAAAGTAGCAGAGGATGGCCCAAGACCTAGGAACCTTGCACCTGCATGAGAGACCTGGAAGAAATTCCCAGCTTCCGGTTTCAGTTTGGCTCAGTTCCTGCCATTTCAGCACCCTAGGAGTTAACCTGCAGATGGAAGATCATCCTCTGTGTCTCTCCTCCTCTCTGTAAATTTGATTTTCCAATTAAAAATAAATAATAATAAAATTTTCAAAGTTCATGAAAAATATAGTTGAGATAAGCTTATCATGCAAAAATTTTTGAAATCCATACATAGTCTTACTAAGCACACATTTTCCATGAACTTTATGCAAATCCCTTATTAATGCTGTTTTTAACGTGGAAATTCATCTTTTTGCTTATCATCTCGTTGTTGGCTCATTTCTGCCTTTATTGACCCAATTTACAGAATCTTAAACATGTACATACACAGGATGTGAGAGTTTATCTGCCTGTTTTATTAAAAATGGGTTTATGCTATAGGAGCCCTATTTGAATTTTGTTCCTGTCCAACATGAAACATTCATTAAAGTCACTCTAAGACACTGTTCAAACAGCAGCTTTATTTTTCATATTGTGAATACTGAATCGCTTATTCAACTATTTTCCCTTAAATAATTGTATCCTGTTCTTCTCATTACAAAAAAACAAAACAGAACAAAACAAAAACTGTGGAAACAGCACCAGCCACCGAAGCTCCACCAGCCGACAGGCGGAAAGGAAGATCACGAGGAACACAGGAGGTGAATCACACCAAGGAACCGTGGGTCCCACTGATCATTTGTATCACATCTTCAGCCGAAACAGAGCACAGAGCCCCTCTGAACATCCAAGAACAGGGGTTGGAGTTTGCCACACAGCCCTCCAGTACTGATGGAACATTAGGCGTCATTTTGAGTGTTCCAGCAAAGCCCATTGAGAGGGGGGCAACAGTCAACTTTGCGGGCAGTAAGTTCTGAGAGAACCCACATTCGCTTTTCCAAGGGTCTTCGGTGCAATCTGATACCACAAATGCATTTTACTAGGCCCGCCAGGAAAATAATAGCAATATTGCTTGAGTTCCAGGCAAAATAACACATGGTTGCTCTCTGACCTAACCACTAACAGATTCTAGGGAGAAAAAAATCCCCAGAAGGGAGCACAAACAGGAAATTGGGCATCACTGACTGTCCGGTGGTCCACAAAGTATACAACTGGCACCTCCCTAATGAAGAACACCACTAAAAACCAAGAGTGGTTGAAAGGCTGAATATACAATAGTGTGGCCACAATACAGAATCACAGGAGAAGAGACAGGAGACCTGCGTAGCTAGCTATTGCTGAATGAACAACAGGTTCAGAAGAAACCAAAAGGGAAGTTAAAAAATTGCTTGAAACAAATGAAGGCGTTAGAACAACATATCAAAACATAGGTGGGTCCGGCCTGTTAGCCTAGTGGCTAAACTCCTCGCCATATGGGCACCAGTTCTAATCCTGGCTGCTCCATTTCTCCTCCAGCTCCCTGTTTGTGGACTGGGAAAGCAGTTGAGGATGGCCCAAAGCCTTGGGACTCTACACCTGGGAGACCTGAAAGAAGCTCCAAGCTCCTGGACGGGCTCAGCTGGGGAATGAATCAGTGGATGGAAGATTTTCCTTTCTGTCTCTCCCCTTCTCTCTATATATATCTGACTTTCCAATAAAAATAAAATGTTAAAAAAAATTAAGGGACACATCCAAGTTAGTGCTAAGAGGAAAATTCATTGCATTCAGAAATCACCAAGAAGTTAGAAAGACATTAAAATAAAGAAGCTAAAAATACATCTGAAGGATTTAAAAAATGACAGCAAAATACACTCAAAGTTAGCAGAAAAGAAAAAAATCAATAATCAAAATAAGGGAGGAAAAAAACAAATAGAGACCAAAACAACAATAGATAAAATTCAAATACATAAGAATACATAATTAAATACAATTAATAACAGATACATCATTCAATACATAATAATTCAAGAGCTGGTTATTTGAAAAAAAAGTCTACAAAATAGAAACATCATTTGCTCAACT